CCGCGCGCGCGTGCGCGCTGTGCCGGCGCCTCACTTCCTGCGCATCGCTTCGGAAGGGGCCTGTGGGAGCGCTCGCGTCCCGCACCGGTGCCGGGAGGAGGGGCGGGCTCGGCCAGGTGGGGCGCTTTTACCTGCGGAGGCGAGCGGAGGAGCCCTGGCGGGACCCTGCGGCCCTGGTGCCGCTGGTTTCCGTGAACTAGCGGGAGAGCTCCGTGTTGGTTGCGCTGGTGGCGGCCCGGGTGTCACTGGACTTGTCCGTCTCCGCCCCGCGTAGCTCAGCTGGCGGCCAGGCCGGGGTCTCAGGTGCAGGTGCTCTGCACTGGGAGGAGCTGATGTCGGGGTGCCCTTTCGTGGTGTTTGGAGAACGGTGACACCCTAAATCCTGTCGTTGCTTCCGTACCGCTGCGCCGGGACCCCCGTTAGTTCTGCGGTTCCCAGGAGTGCGGTCCACTGGGGAGGCGGGGCCTGTGCTCCGTCCTGTCCTTCCATTTATTACCAGTTTCCGAAATAATGACTTTGCCCCTAGAACAGTGGTTCTCAACCTTCCTAATGCCGCGACCCTTTCATACAGGTCCTCATGTTGTGGTGACCCCCAACCATAAAATTACTTTCGTTGCTACTTCATCACTGTAATTTTGCTACTGTTATGAATCGTAATGTAAATATCTGATATGCAGGATGTATTTTCATTGTTACAAATTGAACATCATTAAAGCATAGTGATTGATCACAAAAACAATATGTCATTATATATGTGTTTTTTGATGGTCTTAGGCGACCCCTGTGAAAGGGTCGTTCAACCCCCAAAGGGGTCGCGACCCACAGGTTGAGAACCGCCGCCCTAGAATCTTCTAAAGGCAATCAATGAGGCTTTGTTTTTAGTGTTATTGTGAATTTATTAATATAAACATTTTTGGCGTGTTTCAAGAACAGAGTATTTATATTCTAGGGGTTTTTTTAGGGTCTGGTATAAGACAGGTCTTTCGTTTTTTAAAAAATAACCATTTGGGACTAGCCAATGCTTTGTTAAAAATTCATTTTAGAGCTTAGCAGGTGTGGCTCCGTGGATAGAGCGTCGGCCTGCGGACTGCAGGGTCCCGGGTTCGATTCTGGTCAAGGACAGGTGCCTCGGGTGAGGGTTGATCCTGGGCCCTGGCCTCGGCACTTTCGGGAGGCAACCAATCGATGTGTCTCTCACATTGAGTCTCTCCCCCTCCCTTCCACTCTCTCTACAAATCAATGGAAAAGGATCCTCAGGTGAGGATTAACAACAAAATTTTTATTTTAAAAATATTTTTTAGCCCTCGCTGGTTTGGCTCAGGGGATAGAGCATCAGCCTGCGGACTACAGGGTTCCAGTTTCGATTCTGGTCAGGGCACATGCTGGGGTGCGGCTCATCCCCAGTGGGGAGTGTGCAGGAGGCAGCTGATCAATGATTCTCCTCATTGATGTTTCTCTCTCCCCCTCCCCCTTCCTCTCTGAAAGCAATATTGCTTTCAGAGAGGAAGGGGTTTCAGAGAGGAAGGGGGAGGGAGAGAGAAACATCAATTTATTGCTTTTCAGAGAGGAAGGGGGAGGGGGAGAGAGAAACATCAATGATGAGAGAGAATCATCCATCGGCTGCCTCCTGCACGCCCCCCTCTGGGATGAGCCGCACCCCAGCATGGAGCGAGCTGGGGGTCTGCTGTTGTTTCAATTCCGCTAACATCTAAATTGTAAAGGGAGGGATAGGACTGTCCCCAGACCAGGCGAGGGAGGCGCAGCCCCGAATTCTTTCAAGCCCCCAGCATCTCCCGCCCCACCTCCCGCACCCACACCGGGAACCTCCTTCAGGCCCGCACCCCAGGGTTTTCCCTCTTCACATCCTTCCTCCCCGCATTTGACTGGTGGCTCCGATTTCCCGGAAAAACTGGGGGGGGGGCCCCCGGTGGAGGGGCAGACTGTG